TTGCACTTACGAGGCAGGCGGCGGAACCACTGAGCTAAATCCCCGGCCCTGGCTGGTTTATAACCTTTGAAAGAATTCCCAACATTTTTGGAGTTGGCAGTCTCGTTTGCATCTTGCGTTTCCTCCCTCGCAGGAGAAGGTAGACCCTGTGACCCAGGTCAGGCATCTGCTTTGCCAAACTGACTTAGAACCCTTGTGTGCTCCCAGGACAGACCTAGGTTGGCAGAGTTTATTTGCCAGGGCCCTTAAGCCTCAAGTAGCAGGCTTTGGATACTTAATAAGAAATAAGGGGCAAGGGGCTCGAGTTCCCTCTCCTCTTGCAGGGTCCCCTGTCCCCTTACCACGTCCCTCCTCCTCATTGCCTGACTCCAGCCCTGCCAGAGTTGCTGTGACCTGGGGCGTTTCTGCTGTGATGGAGCAGTACTATACAATACGACAGGCCCTTGCCTTACCTCCATGTCCCTCCCACAACATGTTTTGCTGCAGAAATGTAATGGTCTGTGCAGCCAGGCAGCTCTCTTGCCCAATGTATCAAAATGTTTTGTAACAGTTTGAACTGCGCCTCTCGGGAATGTTCTGTAACTCCGCCCCTTTGCTTCAGTGAGCATGCACACCTAGCCCTGGACTCCTACGTAAGGAGGCTCCCACTTCTAGTCCTTTCCTCAGATTTCTGAGTATGAACTCCACTGAGCACTCCGGCATAGTAAAAGGCTTTTCTCCACTTCTTCAAGTGAACTTCAGATTCTCAAGTCTTTAAATTTCAGTAACTGCGACGCTGAGTTATAACACTCGGCTGTGCCTGGGATCAGTAACACTGGGCTATAGCACTGAGCCGTTCTGCTTTGCCACAACAGTTGGACTGTGGAAAACAGTGCTGAAGATCTTGAGCCCCACTTTTGTGTGCTGGGGACTGAACCTAGGGTCTCTGTGCTGAGCAACATCCCCAGCCTTTCCTTTATTTTTTATTTTGAGACGGTCTTGCTAAGTTGCCTGGGTCGGCTCAAACTTGGGGTCCTTTTGCCTCAGCCTCCCAGAGAACCAGGATTCTAGGTGTGAACCACCACCCCCATCTGACCCCCACTGTTTCAAGGTAGAACACCATTGAGACAAGGGCCTGGACATGACTGAGCCAGCAGCACTGACCACTTCCTCAACCCCAGCCACTCAGCACACTCCCCAGCACGTGCTGGGCATGGGAGAACCCCCCAAATTCCCTTAACATTTTATTGTGCACCTAGGTCTGCCACTGGCTTCCCAGAAGGAGACAAATATGAAGCCACAGACAACCCCTAATCGATGGAAAGCATGCAGAACAGCTAACCACACCAAGTTGGCAGTATTGTCTGAGAACCTAGGCTCAGGAAAGGAACTGGGTTCCCTCTGAGCTCATTTCTGAAACTGGGGGGCCAGTACCCAGTGCACAAACAGGTTCCCAGGCATCTGCATCTCGCTGGCTAAGGCCACCAGGAGGGCCAGCTACAGAGGTCCAGGCTCCATTGCCATGCACTGTGGTGGTTGCAAGGGGGCCCTCAGGGCCTCTTTGGACCAAGCAGGGGGACAGGAAGAGGCTGGAAGACCTAGTGAGCTCTTACCCATCCTCCCCAAGGTGGAATGAGCCAACTTCCACAGTGTTCTAGAACATTCTAGTGCTCTCCAAGCTGTGCGCTCCTTGAGCCATAATGCCGAGGCTCTCCTCTGCTTGGCGTGGTGTCTGACACACAGCAGCTTGGAAGAAACGTTTGTCATATTGCATTAAATAGTAATGAAGGAGCCAGAACGACACCCGCCCCTCAGGCAACCAGGAATAAGTTCATACCCTGCCAAAATTAACTAAGGCCCCAAGGCCATCACATGTGGTCTTTTTGTTTTTTCCATCCTTGGTCTCTGCACACCACTGCCTGCTACACCAAAGCAAGCACATCTCTGTGGTGACCCCACCAGCTGTGTGCCTCTGCCTCTCCCCAAGCTATGACCCCAGAACAGACGGCAGCTGTTTCTCTGATGCCAGTCATCTCTTTATTCCGTTAGTGACCAATACAACAGCACCACGGACACAGCGGGGGGCCCTGCCCAGGGACCCCGGAAAGGCAAAGAGGGTGGACTTGGGGCCTCCAGGCCCTGGGTGGGGCTGGCCAACGTAAGGGGACACCGGCCACTTGCCACCCCCAGTGCTCTGGAGAGGCGTGAGCCTGCAGAGCCCATGACGGGTGACAGTCAGATGCCCTCCCAGCCAGAAGCCTTCCCCACTGCACCAGAGCCCTAGTGAGGAGAGAAGGCTCCAGGCAGGGCTGGGGAAGGCCTTGCGGGGCGGCTGAGGGACACTGTTGGGAAGGGACTGTGCGTGTGTGTGCTTGTGCATGTGTGTGTGTGCCCCTGCGTGTTTGGAGGAAAGATGGCCACGCTACTTAGCATATGGGATTTAACTGCTGAGCCGCAGGACCTGCCTGGGGACAAAGGAGGCCAGGAACCAGGGATTCAGGAGCTCTAGAGCCTGAGGGGACAGGTGCTCCCCACCCCACCTCTTCCCCCAGGAGAGGCAGGCGGCTCCTTCTGGAGGCTGGTCTCGGAGCAGATGCCTCCCTCCACCTCTGGCCTGCCCCTGTCACGTGTAGGCCATCTTGCTGCACACCCAGGGCCGGGTCATCAGACACTCGGTCGACACTAGCCTGGTGGGCTCCACGAAGACACACTCGCCTGGGCCTGAGATGGTGAATCTGTGATGGGAAGAGACCAGGAGCTCAGGACAGGCACGGGCAGCCCAGAGGCTCCGAGGCCTGTGCCCACCCCTACGTCACCTTCCAAGACCGACAGGCAGCCCAGGGCAGCTTCCCAGCACAACTTCCCTGTCTCTCTGCCCTGTGTTCCATGGTCTCTTCCAGATGCCCCGCCTCTCCACACCCTCTAGGGTGGCCGCCACGTCCCAGGCTCTGGGGACCACACAGCACCCTGCCTGCCCTTCGGATACTGCTCATCACAGCCTTGGGGGGGCTCTGTCTGCCCCCACAGTGCTCGGGCAGCCAGCTTTGGAATGATGTCCGCCACTCATCCTGCCTCCCAACAATGCCTGGTGTCGGGGAGCACATGTGGCAGCTCAGTAGAGACACGCTGAATCGCACTGTCCACGTGGGCAAGTGATGGGCGGGAACAACCCCAATAACACTGGTCAACTGGGACTCTTGTCACCAAAACCATGCATGGACCTGGGTGTGTTGTGAAGACACCTCATTTGTTCACCCTGTCTCAGATCCCTGGCACCTGGGGTCCCACAAAACAGGGTGTTAGAAGGACCCCAGAGCTTTAGCTTTGGGAATGCTCCTGTGTCATCATCATTGGGCTAGCACCCCGGGCCCAATCCTCTGAGGTTCTGTTCCCCTACCCTGCACCCCATGTGTCCTTCAGCCTAAAGTGGCCCCCATCCCCACGCCATCATCACCTCACTGCCACAGCCGCTCCTGCTGCCTCCTCACCCTCCATGGGACAGCACCAGCACACACTCCTCTGCAGGCCCCTCCACCGGAAGGTGTTTGCACTGAGAATGCTCAGATCCCTTTTCTTCCACAGTGACGATGCTTAGGCGGCACATGGCTGCCCAAACTGGAGGCTCCATTTCCCATCTTCCTGAGGGCCAGGTGTGGTCATGTGACTGAGCTTTGGCCAGTTGGGCCAGGCCATCCAAGACACACCCTCCCTTCTTTTTCCTTTCTCTGGCCAATGGGGTGAGGCCATCCAGGACTCGCCTTTCCTTTGTCTTTCCCCCTCTGGCCTACAGGATGTGGAAGAGCCACACTGAGCTACGCAAATGGAGTCAGGATAGAGAATGCCTGTGCTTTTCCCCAAAGCTCTGAGGGCTGCTGAGGCAGAGCCACCAAACCAGCTGGACGAGTAAGGAGAGAGAACTAAAGCCGTTTTCGTGAATGGCTCCCAGCCACACCCCACAGCTAGCTAGCATCTCTAGGTGGCACAAAAGAGCATTTCTCTTGAGATCTGGGTCCCAGGGGTCAGGCATTCTTTTACAAAATGAAGCCTCAGCTCACGTGTCTGGGTCAAACGGGTCCCCATTGACCCAATGGAATTCATCCCCGACTCTGCGCAGGCCAATCCAGGGCTCCCTCCGCGTGAACTTGAACATAAATTCCTGCAAAATCAAAGAGGAACGAAAGCATCCACATCAACGGTGCTGTCCTGACTGCTGCTCATGCCACAACAAACCTGAGCTCGGAAGACGAGGTGTTAGGGTGCACAGACCAGGAGGGTGATGTGGCCCGGAGACCAGAAGTGAGGAGCCAGAGGACAGAACTCTCCGAGGTCCCTGAGCTCCCCACAGCACCCCCAAGAGCCTGCAAGGGCCCTGGCTCTGGTGTGTGTACCCACTGGCCAGGAGGCCTGCGCAACTGGACACACAAGCTTAGCAGCCCTGGCCAGTCCTGGGTGGCAGGACACAGGGACTCCCACTAGATGGATTATCTGGGACAAATCTCAGGACAGATTGGCCATCCTCCTTGCATCCTCCCGGGCCTTTCTCTGCAGAAGGAGCAGAGAAATACTATGTACCAGAGACAGAAGTGGGCTTTAGACTCTGCTATTCTGGATTCCCGCCACACTTGCTCAAACCCACACTGACCAAAATTCATTCATTCTGTTTCTTTCACATTTCTATTGATAAAACTGGTCAGGGGATTAAATGAGAGCATGTCCTGATATGGATCAGTAGAAAATGCTGATATTTTTGTTTAATTTTACAAGTTTGGTTTTTTGTTTGTTTGTTCATTTGTTTGTTTTTTGAGACAGAGTCTTGCTATGTAGTCCAGACTGGCCTTGAATTCACTATGTACAGGCTGGCCTCAAACTCATGGTGATCCTCCTGCCTCAGCCTCCCGAGTGCTGGGATTACAGGTGTGGACCACCCTGGCCATAATTGGTAATTCTTATACTTTATAATGCTGAATTAGGCTACAGTAAGTGCCCTTGACCGTTGAGATGGGCCTGCTCTGGCCCTAGGCACACCGATGGCTATGCAGCAGAAGGGTGACCCCAGAGACATGTGTCACAGGGAACACTGTGTGCCTGACGTGTGGCTCTCCTCTGAGCCCTGGGGCCCTGTGTTCACTCTCACCAGCTCCTTCTGGCTCTGGATCACAGCCAGTGCAGCCTCATGGGTGTGGCAGTACTGTCTGCCAGTGTTCCAGTCTCTCGGTTCCTCGGAAAAGAAGTAGCACTTCCTTCCATAGAGCAGCCAGTCCTCTGGGCAGGGCGCCTCACACTTGATACAGCCCTTGGAGGCTGCGGGGAGGAGACAGGGCTCAGCATCTGCCAGCATAGCTGGCCACCACCTGACCCCCATGGATCCCACCCTGCTTTCCATGGCTCCCTCCACCTGCCTCAGCCTTGGTGCCCCAAAAAGATACTTCGGAAGTCACAGACTAAATGTGTGACAAAAGGGAACTGGGAGGCTGGCAGGTGTCACCACAAGGGGATGGTCACCAAGCATGGGACTGCAGAAACTCATACTGGGCACAGACCTGGAGGCCACACTAGCCAGGCAGCCTTATCCACTGCTGAGCTGCTGGAAAGTTCTTCCTAAATACTAAGTCCCCCACCATCTTGTGACCTAGGCCTACCTCCTGGGTGACCCAGAGCAGACCCATTCTGTTCCTCCCCTAGTCACTCCACACCATCTCCGAGACTCCTCGCAGGGGATACTGTGCCAGGACAGCCCAGGACCCATCTGCTGGGCTCTGCCAACAGCACTGTGACCACAGCCAGCGCTCTCCGCCAGCCTGCAGGCTGTGGCAAGTAAGCTGGCCCAGGGCTCCTTGCCAAGAGAAGTTACGCCCTGCACTTAGGACCTGTTTCCAAACCAAGTGTCCCAGCGCCCTGGACAGGCATCACTCAGCCTTGAAATCCTCTTCTACTTATTCCTTCCACATTTTTCTTATTCACTTGGGGTCAGCATTTCCATTTTTATGTTGTTGTTGGTTTTTGGGGGGGTTTTTTGGTACTGGGGATCAAACTCAGGTCCTTGCACTTTCGAGACAGGCAGCTTAACCACTGAGCTAAATCCCCGGCCCCAGCATTTCCATTTTTAAAGGCAAATTTTAATCTTGATTCCCCCCCATTAATCTTGATGTTCTCCCCATTTGTCACATGGAATTGTGTCTGCAGATTGTGTTGGCTGCAAATATGATATGCATGCTTGCTTGTTTGTTTGTTTTCATATAAGTGATTAAAGTGGGGAGTGAGACAGAGCCAAGGGTACACCCTTGGTACTCGAGGGTCTGCAGGGTCCTCCCCAGGGATCTACAGCCATGTGGGCCATGATTAATTAGGGGACAGTCCCTGGGCAGACCTGTTCAACGCAAGGCAAGGCCCCTGGGAGTACTGACCACGAAGTGAATCTCCCAAGAGACTGGTGGTGAGTTAGTGAAATCATTAAGGGCTCCATCTACACATTGCCCTGACTGCCCAGCCTAGCCAGAGGGGAAAGGAAAAGGACTTCATTCATGGCAGATATTCTAGCTAAGGTCAAGCTGCCCCCAGAGGCCATGGCATCCAGTTCTAAACACTCTCAAACCAGTGCTTATCATGCAAGTCATACAGGGGGGGACTCAGTGGGCTTTCCCGCCATTTTAAGAAGTCTGCCCTTGGTCTTACAGTGCTTCTCAAAGAGGAAAGACAGAGGCACTGAAAGCCCTTTTGCAAATCCTACAGAAGCCACAAAACACATTGACTTGAGTCGCCCAAGAATACCCAAGTTCCCAGTTCATAACGTCACACCTGTCCCTTTTTATTTCTTTGACCCTTTTATTCCCACAATTTATCCATGAAGCCCAAACTCTTTCCTCTGTTAAAAAAAGGAATATAAAGGGCTGGGGATTTAGCTCAGTGGCACCACACCTGCCTTGCAGGTGCAAGGTCCTGAGTTCGAGCCCTGGTACCACCAAAAAAAAAAAATGGATTTTAGCTTCTACTTCTTTGTATTTTCTTTCTTTTCTGTTAATTCCCATAAATGTAAATATTAACAAAAATTCTGTCTTTTCTCCTATAATCTGTTGTTTGAGTTAATTTGCATGTCCCTGGGTGCGTAAATCTAAGAGTGTAGAGGGAGTTATTCCCCCTGCCACACACACACACCACACACACCCTCCACTTCATCTCTGGGAAATTCCTACTTCTTCACGGTTCAGTACATGTGTCTCCTATTCTGGGAAGCCACCAGCAGTATTACCTCTACCAGTGCACTTATCCCTGGATGGGGGGGACACTATCACATTCACCTTTTAATTGCTCACTTGGTCGCAGGCCTAACATGCATCAGGGCTCACTACATGTTCAATTAATGTGATTTTTTTTTTAAAGTACTTGGGATGAACCCAGAGCCTTCATAGTGAGCTACATCCCCAGTCCCTTTTTATAACATTTATTTTCTTTTTTACTGTGAGACAGGGTCTTGCTAAGTTGCCCAGGCTGGGCTCAAACTTGCAATCCTCCTGCCTCAGCCTCCTAGAGTGTAATGTGATTAAATCCCTTGCTGCCAAAACCATCTCCTGCAAGAATCACCATCTGCTTGACCTACATCAAATTTGTCCTGAGTTGGTAAATTGTTGCATCATTTATGAAATAATACCTGGGTACCCTCTAACCACACTGCTTACTAAAGGACCTATGTGTAGCCCGTGTATGAATGTATTATTTTAGGCCAAAATCTCACCAACAACCAGCCCTCTGTCTCAGACCTGCTATGGGGTACCGGGAACCTCTCTTTCCCTGCTGAGCTGGGCCTGGGACGGGCCTGGGAACCTGGGAATCAGAATCGCGCATGCGCTAATGAGTGCACTCACCCAAGATGCTCATCACCACCAGGATGGCGAACAGCAGGACCGCGATGGCCCCCAGCAGGAGCCGCGTGGTAGTATCTGCGGACAGGAGAGAGTTGCATGTACAGCTGTCCGCACACATGTCAAACGCGCATGTGTTAGAACTTGACCCCTTTCCTGGCTTCATATTATGCCATGTGTGGACGCATCAGTTTATTTATCCTGTTGATGGCCCTTGGATGGCTCCCACTTTTGGTTTCCGTGAAAAATGCACACAGATTTCTCTGAGACCCTGCTTTCCTAGGTACATGCCTAGGAGTGGAGCTGCTAGACCATACGGTGATTCTGTGCGGCTTTTGTAAGAACTGCCAAAGCGCTTTCCAGTGACAAGACCATTTCCCATTTCTACACATCCTCACCAACACTTGGTGATTTCTTTTTCTTTCATTTATTTTCCATCTAAACCTTTGTTGTGTATTGTCTTGGCCACTAGAAATTCAATTTAAGAATTTTGGACGTGAACTAGCATTCAATCCAAAACAACCTTCTTAAACAAGTGGCCCCTGGAACCCTCTGACCTGCTCCAATCTGGCTGGTTTCTTCTTAAAACCCACTACCACCTTGGGGGTTTCTGTACTAGCAGCCTGAGGAGTTCCCTATCCCTCTGCTGTGCTGTCTTCCTGCTGCTTCTCCCCCTTTTTTCCTAGTCTCAGTTTACTCCTTCATCATGCTGGAGCTCATCTTCCAACAACCATCTCAGAAAAGGTATAGCACAGCAATGCTTGCATAGCCCCAAGGAGCAGTTCTTCTCCTTGTCTCCCCAGTAACCATGCCCCTGGAGTTTTGAACTCAGAGGCATGACTGTATCTGTTGGAATGAATTCCTCAGAATTTCAGAAGTATTAACTCCCTTGTAGCACCAGTGTTGCTCTTGAAAAGTCAACACAATCCCACCTCACCGATTATTCCTCCTATGCAATAACCCATAATAGATGGAGTTGAAAGGTGCGGTTTATTTGGGTTTCTAAATGTGTGTGACTTAGACTAATATTAGAAGGAACAACTGAAAAATTCTGGCTCCTAAACCCAAAGCTCCCATCATCCTTGTGCCTATGGCCCAAAAAAGGCCCACGGCTGACGTCTCTAAACCATCAGAGGCAGAGGCTGGCCAGCAGCATCCTGACTATGAAAACCATCAGATGTGGAGCTTGGTAATTTGTAAATCTGTAAAAGGATTTGCTAAATGTGCATGTGTGGTTTTGATCAGGAAGTTGTGGGTTTCTGCCTAATCCAGAAACTTTCAACATTAAAAATTCAGAATTGATGAGCACTGAAAAATCTATAGTCTGAGGTACACAGAATCACTCTGTCCCTTCTGCCTCACCCGGGGCCCCTTCCCACCCCCAGCACCAGAAATATCTGCATCTCCATCACCTCCATGTCCTCAGAACCTAGCTAGAGCTCTGGGTCACCTTTGCAGCCTCTGGCTTCAGTGTGGGGTGAAGGAAACATTCGGTCCAGAGGAGAGGCCTGGCCATGGGAACTTCTGTCTGTCTTTCTATTTATAAGGACACTGCCTATCTAAGAAAGTCTCCAAGCCCCGGCCCAACCTCTCCTCTGTGCTACAGGAGCTCCCGACCTCGGAAGAGGCAGCAAGGTCTCCACTGGAGATGGCAGCTGTCTGGGGGGCAGGGGAGAAAGCAAAATGCTACCTGATCCCCTCCAGTGAGCCTGGTGAGCAGAAGTCCTTGTCACCCAGGAAAAGGTAAGAGCTTTCAGGTCACAGGGCCCAGAGCAAACCCCATGGGGGTTTCATGTGTTAGCACCCAAGCTGTGTCCTTGGGAGGGATGCTTAGACTTGGGGTCAGTGTCCTCACCTATAAAATAGTGCTCACCAACCCCCCTCAGGGTGAGGATTAGAGGTAACCAAGGTGAAACCCACAGGGCAGGTGCCTGATAACTGTCCTGAGCACAGTTAGAGGACCTCATGTATCCCTGGAGGCTCAGCTGGGTCAAGAAGTGTCTAAGCCAGGCATGATGATGCACGCCTGTGATCCCAGCACTCAGGATGCTGAGGCAAGAGAATCGCTGCAAGTTTCAGGCCAGCCTGGGCCACATAGTGAGTTCAAGGCCAGCCTGCACTACATAGTGAGACTCTGTCTCAAAAAAAAAAAAAAAAAAAAGCTTCCTATCTCTCAAGACGTGCTTGGCTAAGCAGAGGTTCTGTGGCCCCTCATCCAACCAACAGTAGGTCATCACACGGATTCCAATTTGGGGAGGCAAGTGGACTCAGATCAGTATATCCCTGGGCTCCCCTGCTGGGCTGCAGGGGTCCCACATCTGGGAGAGGGGACAGAGGTCTCTACAACAGAACGCATATACCAGGCCTTGGTCCATATGGCCCCCCAGGGGTAGAAATCTGAGCAAATGAGGTCCTCCTCGATGTCAGAAGAGGGGACCGCTGGGCTAGGATGGCCCTCTCAGGTGCCACCATGTTGCCCCATTACACTGGATCCCCACACTCCCTCATCTTTCTGCACCATTCAGGCGCTGTCCTAGGCCCTGGGCACATCCCTGCTCTAACAGAGATTCCAGCCAAGGAGGACCCAGGAGACCTGGACCAGCAGAGGGTAGGTCCCAATGGCACACAGGCTACATATCCTGAAAGTCCTGTGGAGAAGTCAGCAGGCTGAGAGGCTGAGCACCAAGAACCACAGGCTCTCTGGGATGGGGTCGCTCCAGCTGTACCTGGGGGATGCAGGTGGCCTGAGTCACAACCAGGCAAGGAGCCACAGCAGGACGGGTGTGACAGGGCTGGACCACAGGTAGGTGCCATGCATGAGGTGGGCGGGACCGGTGCCCAGAGTCTCTGGTCATTTTCCCGCCCTGAGTGGCTGCTCTCCTGCTGACGGCCGGGCTGGCCAGCTAGCTGCAGTAAGCAGGTGGAACTGTGCACACAGTCTCCACACCTGGGCGCAGATGCTGCCCTGCCCTCCTCACTGCCTGGGGCTCAGTCCCACCCCAGGCCAAGGGCAAACCCGCCCTCTCGACCCTCAGCAGCCCCTAACCCTTGGCATGGCCTTCGGGGGCCTTCAGGCTCCTCCTCCCCACCGCGCCCCATCCTGGGACACTGGGGCTCAGTTCCCGACCCAGGCCAGGAAAGCTTCAGCCACCCCTCTCTGTCTCCTCCACACCCCTAAGCGGTCACCTTCTCCAGGAAGCCCTCCAGGAAGACACCCTTACCTAGTTAATCCTTTCAGGTCCCGCTCTGCCCTTGCACTGGGCGGGTCCCAGGAGCACGCTGGAAAGCCTAGAGCTCGGAGAGCCCTCTCTCTGGACCCCTCCAGCATTTCTAAAGCTAACACAACGAACAGCTGAACGGACTCACGCTCACGAACTTGAAATCCATTCCCACCGTGGGTGCTGCCCCCTGGCCAGCCGGCTGCTCCCTGAGCCAGAGCAAAGGGACAAGTGGGACCCAATCTTGCAAGGAAGAGCCCCTAGAGGACCTCCCCACCGCCCCACCTCAACCCGCAAAAGACGCCGCCACCACCTCGGGCGCTGCACTCTCGTGACAGCGCCCAAAGCGTCACCGCCGCACGTGCAGGAGCGAGACACCCCGAGCCTTTCCCGCGGGGACCCAGGGCTCGCAGCAAGAAGCTTGCTCCCAAGGTCACAGGCAGAGCTCGCGGCAGAGGTGGCCTGGGGTCCCTGGCTTCGGGCCCGCACCCGGTGGCATCCGCGGGCCCTGGATGAGTGGATCCAAGTGGTTCCCCTCTTCCTCGCGCTCCAAGGTGACCGGGCGGGACGGGCCGCGCTTACCCTCCAAGGCAGCCTTCCAGCTGGTGCTGCCCTCGTAGCCAGAGCCTGATCGCCGCAGCAGCCCCTCGGGGCCACGGGCCTCGGCCTCTCCTGGCGAGCGCGGCCTGGGCGCGGAGAGCGCGGGGCGCGCGGCGGGGGGCGGCGGGCGCGCACGCGCGGGGGGCTCGCGACTGGGGTCCCGGGGCGCGGGGGGCTCCCGGGCGGGCTCTGGGGCCGGCTCCATGCCGGGCGCTCCGCGCGCCCCGCGCGCCCCCCAGGCCGGCTCCGTGAGCGAGGCCGCGGCGCTGCACCTGGCCCAGCCCGCTCCCCGCGCCCGAGCCCGCCCGGAGCCGTCGCAGGCTGCGCGCAGAGGGAGGCGGAGCGGAGGACGCGGGGACGCGAGGCGGCGGCGAGGGAGGAGGCGCTGAACAGGGACAGACGGGTCCCCTCCCGCCCAGCGCCCGCCGATGCTGCAGAGCAGGAGGGGACGACAGCCGTCCCGCAGCCAGAGCCCTGGCTGTCCTCTAGCTCCACCTCCCGGGCCTTCGCCTGTCATCTGCTAAAGTGGGAATAAAGTTCACCGGGGCGACCCGAGGAAGCCCAAGGAAGATGAGGAGGCCTGAGGAACATGAGGGCTTTCTTCTGAGCTGCCTTGGAGGCCGAGCAGAGAGGCGGGGGCTGAGCCTTGGCCCCCAGATTCTTGATAAACGAGAGAAACGTCTAGGGGCGACACAGACAGCAAGGGTCTAAGCAGACAACCACAACAAAGGTGCAGATACAAAAGTTTATTGAATATTTATTTACTAAGCGCGGCGACTTCTGTTTGCATTCGCTGACAGCATCCCATCTCAGCAGGCTGAGAATCTAAATTAAAAGGCTCAAGGGTAGCGATCACGGCCGCGTGGAAAGCAGTGCCGTGGGGTTGGCCGCGTGTCCCGCCTGAGCCACCTGTGCCGCTCCTGTCTTTCCTTGCCGGCCTACGCTCACCTCCGGCTCCAGCCCTGACCACCTGGCCCGCCCGGTCTCAATCCCACCCTCTCTCAGGCTTCAGGGTTCCTCAGCCCCTCCTGCTTTCTCCCCACATCCCACCAGACTCCGAACCCTCAGGCAAAGATCTTTGTCTTGTAGGCAAGATTCTCTAAAGAACAGGAAACAAACGGGGAAAGGACCAATAGATGAGAGGGAGAGGGCAGGGGAAGGGGACCAAAAAAGACTTCAGGCGTGTAACGGCTGGCACCAACTCTCCACGACGTATGCAGTCATTGTGTACTGCAAATGCACTAAGAAAAATTTTCATAAAGATTCTTAAAGGGTATTTCTAAAAACCCCAATGGCTTCGGCTCACCTCCCACGGAGCCCTGGGATCCGCAGGGAAGTCTGCCACTCTGACGGGGAGAGGAGGGTGATGGTGCTCAGGACCACTGGCTCCTCTCCCCTCACCACACGGCCCCAGCCCGATGGCCAGGAATGGGAGCAGTGCCTGAGGGGAACCCCAGGTTGAGGCCTTGCACCTCCCGCAGAGGCACAAGGCCGCTTCAGAGATAGGGCAGCAGGGAAAGCCACAACCACACGTTTAGGGAAATTAACTACAGTGGACTTGAGGCTGTTTGGGAAGAGGGAGCTCAAGTGGGAGGAGCTTGCAATGAAGTGGGATTGGAAAATACTGTGAATGTTAGAATAGAATTTATTACAGTAAGAAACACATTGCCATGAATCCCCTTCAGAATACTCCCCTTGCTTTGAACACACTTATCATTTTTGCCACTTTCTGAAAGCAGTCCTGGAAATCCTTTTTTGGAGTGTTTTCAGTTGTGCTGTTGTGGCTGCCTACAGGCCCTGAACTGATTCAAATCATTTTCCTTTTATGGAAAGAGAAAGAACTTCTTCGCTAAACATGTGAGCCCTTGAGCCTGGGGTTCCCATCAGGAACCCTCTGGGAAAGAACCAAAAGTCTTGCAGTGCCCAATCCAGTGAGTAAAGTGGAAAAGGACACAGTGTAATGTTTTGATGAGCCTGCCATTCCACTGGTTGGCTCTCAACAACAGCATTCACCATACTTTTGATCACACCTCATAGGCCGCTCACAAGAGGCTATCTAGAACTCCTTCAGAAATTGGGAGAGGGCAACCCATTCGGGACCCCTCCTGTCGTCTGTTTCTGCTCCCCATTCATATTTCCCAATAAATTTTCCTACTTCTAAAAAAAAAAGTGGCAAGAACAATGGGATAAATGTGTTCAAAGTAAGTGAGGAAAAGTGTTTTGAGGGGGATTAATGGCAATGTGTCTTTTACTGTAATAATTTTTTTTTGGTACTGGAGAACAAACTCAGGTCCTTGCACTTGCGCAGCAGGTAGAGAAACCACTGAGCTAAATCCCCAGCCCCTGTAACAAGTTGTTTAAAAATTTGGGGCAGGGATTTAGCTCAGTGGTTCCCCAGCCTGCCTCACAAGCGCAAAAGCAAGGTCCCAGTTCGATCTCCAGTACCAAAAAAAAAAATTTTTACACTCACCATATATTTTGCACATCTTTTTTTTTTTTTTTTTTTTTGGTTTTTGAACTTTGGTTTTCAGGTTTCTCTCTCTCTTTTTTTTTTTTTTGCGGCACCAGGAATCCAATTCAGGACCTTTTGCAAAGATGAAACATCAATGAACCCCTTTTTCAGTTCTATTCAGCACAGCTCTGTTAGAAGTTGTGCCTGGCAGAGAAAGAAGACCGCGAGGTGCATGGCATCTGTGAGCTTGGAGGTTTTCAGTGAGGGACAACTTGATGGGGGAGAGCAAGGCCCAGGGTCCCCAAACAGAGAGGCAGAGCACAGCTAAAGGCCTGTCATGCTGTGTGGTCAGCGCTAGAGGCCGGAGCGACTTCAGCGGGAAAGAGGAGCTTGGGGCCCAGTTGGGAGCGCTCAAGGCTGGGACTTCCCTCCTTTCCCAGAAACAGAAAGGGCTGGCTGTGGGTGGGCTGGATTTGGGTTCCAAGGGTCCTTGGAGGAGCAGCCCACTTAGACCCCACTTGGATACCTTGGCCCCAAAGCTGTCACAGATAGCAGATTAGGGCGTGGCAAAACTGGCTGGGGAAGTAGATGTGAACTGTTAATTACAAGATCCAGAGAGGCCAGGGATGTAGCTCAGCGGTGCTGCGCCTGCCTGACAAGCGCAAGGGTTTTTTTGTTTTTGTTTTGTTTTGTTTTGTTTTTGGTACCGGGGATCGAACTCGGGACCTTGTGCTTGCGAGGCAGGCACCGGAACCACTGAGCTAAATCCTCGGTCCAAGCGCAAGGTTTTGAGTTCCATCCCTGGTACCAAAAAACAACAACAACAACAAAAACAAAAACAGGCTCACGGACACACGCGCAGAGCACCTCCCAAATCCCTGCCCATGGACTTCTAAGGAGAACTCCCCAGGATCTCAATAGGAGCCTAAACCTGACGTCAGCCTGAGAGGTGGGAGCCCAGCACCGCCTCTCAGGACCCGGATGTACAAGTTCTCGCAGATTTCCTCAAGATTTAGACAGCCTAGGCTGGGGATTTAGCCCAGTGGTTTCGTCGCCTGCTGGGCAAGCACAAGGACCGGAGTTCAATCCCGGGTACCAAAAAAAAAAAAAAAAAAAAAAAAAAGAGTAAAGATTTAGACAGTCTAAAGGCCACATCCATGCCATGGAGGCTTTGCTATCGTACTTTTCCATGATAGTCCACGCTGTTTCCCAGAGAGTGTGTACTTTTATCTTTGCTTTCACCTTTTTCTGTTTTCTCAGCCCAAGCTCGCTCTGCAGAGCCAGTTGCTCCCCCGCCCTTCACTTTTCCTTTCGTGAGTAAACTTGGCCACTGCTTTTTGTTCATCTCTTTCAATTCTTTGGTTGAGGCGAGAAGAACCTGAAATCCAGCTCCAAAAGGAGAGGCGAGCAACCCAGGACCCAGTAACATTTAGTTGGCGAGCCACTTTTTAGAAACAAGCTACCGGATAAGAGAAGTGCTTGATACTGCTTTGACCGTGGCTTGTGTCTGGCTTATGTCTGGCTGTTGTGTTTGGGATTGCATCAAATCTGGGGATGGCATCTGCTCCTGTGGGTGAAGGTATCTTAGGGCGCGGCTCAGGTGGCAGGGCTGTCTGCCACAGCTTTACCAAAGGAGCTAAACTAGATGTCTCCCCAAAGCCTCGTGAGCTCATAAGCAGGGTTTTGGAAAGCAACTGGATTTGGGGGGTGAACAGCTGACTTGCTGTTAGGAGGTGGGGTCTGGTCCTAGAAGAGGTGCTCACCAGGGTGTGGCCTGGAAGGGTTTATCTCCCTCCCCAGCTCCTCCCTCTCCCCTCCCCCCCCCTCCTCCCCCTCTCTCTCTCTCTCTCTCTCTCTCTCTCTCTCTCTCTCTCTCTCTCTCTCTCTCTGTCTCTCTCTCCTTCCTGTCCACCCTGTGGTGAGCAGTTCTCCTCCACCAGGCCCCTCTGCCTTGCTGTTTCCTCTTTGGAGCCGCTGACCATGAACCAAAATAGGCAAAATAACCTTTCCTTCTTTAAAGTTGTAAGTGTCCTGTATTTTGTCCCAGTGACAAGAAGAGTGACGAAGACAGATTTTGTTCTTCCTTTGACAAATTCATTCAAAAATTGTTCAGCATCACCCCCCTACCAAGCCCTGTGGTTGGCTCTGGGATTCAGAAGTAAGTGGGTCCCCAGTGTGGGCCTCTGTGAGGGGGTCCTGGTGGCCTCTCCCAAGGGCCACCAAGCTTCTGTCACCACAAGGGTAGCTGCCCTGGGGACCCACTCTTCGAATGAGAGGGGACCTATATTTAGCATTTCCTGTCAGAACCAAATTCTCCAGTCAGAAAAGCCTGGTCCTCGCCAAAAGATTGACTTTTGGATGAAAGTGATGCCCTGGGTAATAATCCTGCCAAACCTGCTGCCTGTCCCATGCATTAGCATCTCCCTGGGGGGTAACAGGACACTGCAGGCGACTGTGAGCTCTGCTCACACCAGCCAAGGAAAAAACCCACATCTGACGTTATCTACAGTTTCTAAAAGAATAGAATTAAACATAGACTTTCTTATTATGAAACTAGTACCTAAGTAAGCTGATCTCGTGAACAGCGTAAGTTTTTTAAGTAACTTTTCTTTAGAATTTAGTATCTTACCATGTGCTTCAAAGCACTTTTACTTTTAATTTTTATTTTATTACTACATGTTTGCAGGACATGACGTTTCCATTCGTCGTGGGGAGTGGGTGCCTATACTTCATCCAGCTTGTTTCTTTTTTTAATCCCCTTCCCCTTC